TAAGTCATTTTTTAATGAAAATTTATTAAAGCGATATACATAAGATTAGTGTTCATTAACTAAAACTCTAACAAATTAGGAGAAAATATCTTAAAACTACATTGTTTCAATAAAATATCATAAAAAAAACACTATTATTTATGCTTAAAAAATGGATTATTTGTCTTTTTCAATAAAAATTATCAAAACAACATAATTTTGAGGCCTCTTTTCTCATAATTTTTTAGAGATCTAACTAACAAACACTTTTCTCCTATTGTAATTCCTAACTAACAAACACTTTTCTCCTATTGTAATTCCTAATTTTCCATTACAATGTGGATAACAATAAAGGATTGAAAACTGTTGGAGGCAAGTGGAATTGTAAATGAGTCTAGTCGTTTCTAGTTTGTGTTGAGTCTAAATGTATTGAGAACTCAAACTAGTCTTCCTTGAATTTAATTGAAGATTTATATTAAAATAAAATTATAATTTTAAATAGAATATATAATTATATTTTGAGTTCAAACTAGAGCACAATTCTTAATTACTCGAGCTGGAGTCAAGTTGAGTCCAACTTCAGTTTGAGTTAACTAACTCACAAGTAACTTAATTCATTTGTAACTCTAGTGATGGATAAGAAAAAGTTTAAAAAGAATATGACTATATTATATTATATAATTTATTTTCTGACATACAAAAATAGAAATGAAAAACCGAAATGAGAAAATAGAAGTGATACCAAACAGTCAAAATTTCACCGTTCAAAATCTACCCAGCATGAGCTGCATGACCTTCAGGCATTTATGAGATACATGAATTAAATTGGCAAACGCCAAACACATTCTAAAATAGTGAATGAAGTTTTTTTTTTTTTTTTTTGTTAAATGCCAAATTTAGTTCTTAAACCTTTCAATCTTGTATCTAAATTATTTTTTGCACTTCTTTCTCCTTTAACTATGAAAAATACACTTTTTTGTCTTTATCTCAATTTTGTCCATTAAATCTATCTTGCTGACTTTTTAGAAATTTTTCTAATGACTGAATGTGCATAAAACAAAATTTCAAGAACCAAAAATGTACAAAAAAAATGTTATTGGACAATAAAAAGCCTACTGCACAAACTTGACTGACAAAATTGACAGAAAAAAAAGCTAAAAAAATGTATTTTTTATAGTTGAGTGATGAAAAAATTACAAAAAATAATTCTAGAACTAAAATTGTTTAGAATTAAAATTTTAGGAAATAAATTTCTCATTTAACCCTTTTTTTAACATTGAAGATTTGGAAGAAACGTAGACACATTAACCATAGTTTTCAAATTTGTATCCTACTCCCTGTTACTTAAAATATAAGTCATTTGATTTTTTTACATAATTTTAGACAATATTTTTTTATAATATATAAATAATAATTAATTTCTTTTTCAATATTTAATTTTTTGAAGTATTTTTTATTTAATAAAAAAAATTCAATTATTATTCATATACCATAAAAAAATATTATTTAAAATTACCTTAAAAAACCATACAACTTATAATTGAAATGGAGGGAGTACAATCTTGAAAATAGTGAGCACATTAAAAACTTGTCCCAAACCCTACACAAGTTTGTTGGTTCCATTGGATTGAAAAAAATGGTTTTTTTAATCTATGTTTCATTGTTTTAAAGATACAGTTAAAAGTACTTAATTTTTGTCATAAATATATTTAGAAAATATAAAAATTGACTTTAATTTTAGTATTGATGTCAAATGAATGAATTTAATTAAATAGTTAATAAATTAATGATCAATTTTTACTTTTTTAAATGTAAATTTATAATAAAAATATATATTTATTATACCATTAAAAAAACCTTTAAAAAAAGCCAAAAAAACAAAAAAAAAAAAACAAAAAACAAAAAAAGGAACCAAACAAAACAAAACAAAACAAAAAGATTGTAAAATTCATCACTAAAACAAACCCTAGCCACACATCTCTCCCTCTTCCCGAATCCCCTCCACCATTTTTTGCTCTTTCTTTGTCAGTTGCCACCATCTATATGCGTTGTGGCAAGGAGCATGAATAAGGGTGATATCCTCTTTTTCTGATTTTCCCTCTCTTTTGGGGATCTCCACCTTGGCTTTGTTGATATATTCTCATCAAGTTTTGCTCATAGTGGAGGAGGAAGGCAATGTAGATATAGGGATGGCTAAGCTTAGTTGGATTGCAATGCTTACTTCAGTTGTTGATGATATAATTAAGGGTGAGCCGTGGGGTTTTTGACTAATCTTTTTACCCTAAAAGCTTGAGTATCATACGAGACTTCTCAAATGTTTTAAACACACAATCACCTAGTTCTATTGAGTCTATATGCTCCTTTACAACAATTACTCATATAATCTTTAGTAATTGATGCCTTAATGTAATTAAATGTTCATATATGTTATACACAAAATCATCTCTTACTAGTTCTATAGATATAAGGAAAAATTTTCCTTGGGATTTCTATGTAAACCCTTTTTATTGTTAATGAATTTATGAAATTTTTATCAAAAAAACAAAAAAGTTTGTTGGTTGTGAATACTTGGGGACTATAGTTTGTTCCACATATATTTCATCGATTGCCTAAACCGATAAAATCGAATTGGCAAAAACCTTTCTTAACCTGCTAAACTTACTCTAAATTAGCACTTAAGCCCTTAAACTAAAACCAATGTAAACAAGCCATCCAATTCCTCTATTAGCACAAATAAGCCCTATATGACTAACAACCATTTAACATGGATAATGTTTGACTCTGTTTGGCAATACTGATGTGGTGATGTAATTGCTGACATGGATAAAAGTGCATTTTCAATTTCTTTTATTTTTTTGAGTAATGATATAAAGGTAACATTTTTTGTATAATATTTTATATAATTCTTATATGTTATTAAATAAGTAGATATATGTAATATTATATGTTCTAATTAAGTGAAAAAGATTAATAATTAAATGATACAAGTTATTCAAAAAATTATAACAAGATTTGTTTCTAAATCATTTTTCTCTCTTTTTTTATTTGGAGTTTTCAAAATTTTAGCAAGACCCAAAGATCCCTCCACATCTGCGTTTACAACAAATGGAAAGGAAGGAAGCAAATGAAGTCTATCCAGTTATTTGGGCCATTAGTATCATCAGCCATAAGGGGCTTATTTGCACTAGTTAAAAAGTTATTTACATCATTTTTAATTTAGGGCCTTAAATGTTAATTTAGAGCTTTTTTAGAGACTTAAAAAGGGTTTTTGTCAATCAAATCACATTAGTTCCAGCTACCCTACAGGGACACACCACACCTACTGCTCAATCGAATTCCAGATATCTCAATCATTCTGGCTAATTTCACGTGCTTCAAATACTGAGGTTGACCCACAGCGGCAAGCCAATGACTTTGTGTTGGCGTTAGGCGTGCTATTGACTTTCTTTCGCATCCAACGGTTATATTAATGCCATCCGAATTCTAGATTTTCAAGTTC